AGAGGCACAATGACACAGGCGAGGGAAAGGACCCCAGGTGAGGTGACAGCCTGTGCAGGGAGCACAAAGCCTGCCCAGGCACCACAGCCTGGCACAAAGCTGCAGAGGAAAGAAGAGTTCTCAGCCTCTACCATGAGATAGCTGGGAAAACAATGAAAAATTCACCCGAACAGCACCCATGGAGCATCTAATCTCAGCGTGCTGCTGCTCCTCAAAACCTCTGAAACCTTTTTTGCCTGCAGCAGCAGCCTGGGGAACCCACCCCTGATGACACCTGCACAGCACCTCCCATATAAAGTTCATAAAGTCCATCWCGTTCMACCCCCTGCCCTGGGCAGGGACACYCTTCCTCTAGACCAGGGTGCTCCAAGTCCCATCCARTGGTGTTTTGGACACTTCCAGGGATCCAGGGGCACCYACAGCTTCTCTSGGCACCCWGTGCCAGGGCCTCACTGCMCTCATGGGCAAGAATCCCTTCCTAATACCTTCATCCTTCATCACTCCTTTGGTGCTCAAGCAGAATCCCACCACAAGACTTTCCCCTCCACCCCTTCAGTACTAACACTGAAAATAAAATGAGAGGAAGCAGAGGAGCCATCACATTGCAGCCAACATCAGTGCTGTGTTTACCCAAAAATACAATTCACTGAAGACAAGGCGTGTTCACAACCCTGGGCAAGCAGGTCAGGAAAGCCTCCATCAATTCCTGATATTTCAGAAGAGTTTTTCTCAAATAAAATACATCACCCTCCTGCAAGTCACATCCCTCTGGAGCCATGAGTTTTGCCATGTAGTAGCATCCTGCTGAACAGCCAAGTGCTCCAAACACATATCCCCAGGACCATTGCTCTGTGGAGTTGTTCAACCCAAATCATGTTTACTTATAATTGAGTTTGAATTTATAATAAACTTGATGGTGCCTAACTGATAGATCTAAAAATAAGCCAGTTATCTGACACTYAGCTCTGATCYTAAAACAGATGTTTGAGGATATAAAATTATGTTGTGAGGTTTGAAATTGCACATACAATTACAACCTTCATCTTTATTGCTACTCATAAGTGTTAAATGCAACTACATCTACATTAGAACTTCACTTATTACCATATTTCTCCCTCTCTCCCAAGCCAAGACTGACTTGCAGCATTGTGACACTGGCAATTATTCTCCTCCTCTGACAAATCCAGGAGAACGAGCAAAAATCTTTGCGGAGCCCATTTAACATTCATCTTGTGCAAACAACTTGGTTCTTCCTTCATTTCCAGGAGTGTTGGCTCACTCAGACAAGTAAAAGTCTTCAGGGCAGTACCCTGGGGAAAGACTTTGCATTTTTCTGTTGATGGGCTGTGGGAATTCAGCATCAGGAGCCAGCAGCTCAGTGCTGATGAGAGCCAGGGGCAGGTTAAATCAATATGGGTCTTCATTT